CCAGCCCATTTAGCCATCAACAAAATATGCAAATATTTTGATGATAAAATCACATCATAAAAGTATAATTATCAAACAATTAATTAAATTATATTATTACCATTCGCATAATGTCAAACAAATTAAAATGTTAAAATCATTTCAAAATACAAAACAAATATCAGATGCAAACCAAAAAAAAAAATCTAACTCGTCTATTTTGCTGATCTAAGGCATGTGAGTGACAAACACAATGTCCGTGAAATATAATTAATAAAAATAAAAATGTCAATTACATGTTAGTCAATATTTATTGCATGTCAATCTTACTACTTACATTCTCCAAGAGTAGTGCGAACCTAGATAAGGAAAAGAGTGTTAATTTTTATCCTTTTCTAAAAATTTTTTTTTTAATTTCAACCTGGCTGGGCCGGCTGGCCTACACATTCTAAAATTAAATTATGGCCCTCCGTAATTTTGAGTTTTTCACACCTGATATACAGAGTCTGATGATGGAATTGGAAGGATAGCTATGGGACGACGCAACCTTGTCGATTTAGGACTCTTTTAATTACTCAGAATGCCAGAAATTTTGCATTCACAATGCTTTACTGAAAGATTATTGAAAAAAGCTTAAAAAATCTCAGAGTACCAGGATTTTTTTTAACCCTTTTTCATTAAGAATAAACACTATATTACCCTGAAGAATTGTTTGCAACCTCAACTCTATGTAATGAACTGAGGAGACACCAGTATGTTTATTTGTGGGAGCAATGTATTACTGTAAAAGTTTAAGGACCGCTAACGCTGTATCAGTATGTTAATTTATAGTTCGCGTGACGGTAATAACCTATTAAATTCAAATAATAAAATAGCCTATTTGTTTTGTGTATGTCATAGTAGTTATATCTAAATCTGGCCACACTTAAAGCCCTTTATAGTGTCATAGCGATTAGTCCTCGCACGCAAGACTGGCCTTAACTTTGATGGAAATAGGTTGACCCAAAAAAACGGACAGGTGCGCTAAGGACTCTTGTTATACCGTTATCTATGAAAATAGTAAAAATATCACACTTTGTATGGCAGCCCAATTAACTATTCATATATTTTTTCATAGTGTTTTTTTAGTATTTGTCGTCACGGCGGCAACAGAAATACATCATCTGTGAACATCTCAATTGTCTAACTATAACGGTTCATTAGATTACAGATTATGAGACGGACTGACAGCAGAGTCTTAGGGCCTGTTTTTTGATCCGTAGTCAAATGTCATTTCACCATTTGTTAACATGGCTATAGTTATAATGTTAACCCGCTGTTTCGTTTTTTGATGTCAAATTAAACCATAGCCAAAGTTAACCTCTGGTTAATTTGTTGCCAGCACAATGGGTCGTTCTTTCGCTATACATTGACATGGGTAAATTTGTTCTGGGTGAAAACACTAACGGTTTGAATGAACGGAGTGAACTAATACCATTTTTAACATTAGGATTATGTTTCAAATGTACAAAAGAAATCTGTAGGTTACCAAACAGTGTGAATTTTTATGGTTATTGTATTATGCGTACTGTATTATTTTTCAAGAAATAAAAGGTAATTTCTTTAATTATGTCAGAAAGCAAGATAGAAAATATTTTTCGAGTTATTAGGCTTAACTTTTTTAAATTATATATACGAGTATTTACACATATTTTTCTGTAAGATAAAGATATCTTATAGAAAAAAATCGTAAAAATATAGTATTTAGTGTCCAAGGTGGGAATGCAATGTTAAAAAATAAATCGAGGAATATGTATTTTATATAATGTGGGCATATTTGCCTTTTGTATTGATTATTCGTAGATTTAATTGAAAATATAACTTATTTTTAATAACCCAAAACTCATAAATGACAATTAATATTTTCCTATGTAATTGCATCATAAAACTAAATACGAAAAATAACTAATGTCCAACTATCTTTTTACGTTGTTTTTATACCTACATGAACTATGGAATCATGTAGGTATAAAAACAACGTAAAAAACATACATCTGTTCTTTTAACCATTGGTCATTTGCTTAACCTAACTCCCAGTGATGGTTAAATTTTTTGACCAATAGTTGGAATTCTAACAATTGGTTAGGCTAACTATTAATCAAAAACCATATTTTTCTGATATTTAACCATTTGTCGAAGGATTTAACAAATTGCGTTAGCGTTAACTACGGAAACAAATCCCTTAGTAATAGAGTTTCCGTTTTAATTCAATGATAAAGAACCTTAAAAATAACTAAAAGATATTGCCCATAAATTGGTCGATGTCAGAATTTCCATATTCAGTAACTTTCCTCCTACACCTATTAATCACAAAAGCCGGCTTTATCCAAAGTTATTAACAAAACAAAACAAATATAACCTTCATAACGTTAAAGCGCAAAATTCTCTAACTCATATTCGACAATGTTACAGTATCTTTTGACTGTCGTTTCTCATTTCGTTTACCCCAACATACCATTGATACATGAGTATAACCACATCTCGCACTGACATTAATTGCGGCATATTACAAACAATGCTAGCCACGTGGCTGAATCATAAAGCGGAACAAACAGTATCTTTCGCTCACATTCAAAGTCATGATTCTGTAGAATACATTTGAGCATTCTGAAGAATACATTTAATGGGCAATGGCGTTTGATTGCATATCGATGTGCAAAGGCTTCTACAGGTCTGTTAAATTATATAACTGGACACAATATGTTTTTTTTTTAATAATTAATGAATATATATTAGACAACAACACATAATACATAGTTAATTCTGTAAAAATTAAATCAAAGGGAGCAACGGAGTTTGTTTCCAGTTCTTCTCAGACAAGACTCCTAAAGCAGGAACTGGTGGTAAATAAATAAGTCATTTTTTTAAATAATTTAGTTTAATAAATCTAAACCTTCCCATAATAGGTATATACAATTTTTTGTATTGTGAATGTATCCAATAGTATTGGTTTATGAAGGTACCTATTTTACTACTTAATCTTACACCCTTTTTCATTAACCTGAAACAAGGCATAGCTTAACTAGGAAATGCCTAATATTACGAAATGCCTTAGCAGATTAATTTAATTTTAAATATTTTTTTTTTTATACCTTGACATATTTATGACATGTCATATATACAAATGCCTAGCGCAAGGCACCGCATAACGAATATCATAATTTTAGACATTGCTTAATTTCGTTAGGTGGTTCCAGTCAATGGTGAAATGCATTTTTTCCTTAGGCGATTCCTAAATATTAAGGTGACAGATTTGGGCGACCCCTAAGTTTAGTGAATACGGGCATTAGTTAATAAAGTTGAATACGAAACCTGTAAAGAGTCCGAAACGTCAATAAAACCATTAAAAAGTTGTTTCATTTATTGATAGTGCGCGTGAAAATGTAAAAAATCAATATTTTTATTACAAAGTAAAGTTATTTCTTTGTTTAAAAGCTTTTCTTTAGTTTCCCCTGTCCCTATGTTTGTTTTTCTATAATCAAATCTTGCAAGCTAAATTCTATTTATTATTTCAAAGGGAAACGATTAACTTTTTTTAAAAGATTTTATTGTCCAAAAGAGATTTGCATCCATAAATTGACCTAAGACAAACGCGCACTAAACACATTTTTTATACAAATAAGATTATTTATAATTTTAAGCAATAGAGATAAAGTTCTTTTTCTGCAATAGTTATTGAATTTAGGTAGCATATTTCTTTGAATTTTGTTAATAATCTTTCAAGTCATTTACGCCTTAATGTTGAAATTGAAAATACGAATTTACTCGCTTAAATGGCATGTTTTTCTACTAAAGTGACAAACGTAGGATTTACAAGGAATAAAAATTGAAATAACTCGAATGCCACTCTGAGTCCGGTAATGTGAACCATTAACTGGCGATGCCTCGTCCGGCAGTAAGCGCGTTTACAAGGCATTTATGGCCCGCCCCCACCCGCGGCCATAGACAATATTAACAAGTTTTTATGGCCCATCGATTATGTGATAGCGACTCTCTTTGGTAGGAAATTGTAAATACTGTTGTTTGTGGTAGATAGGTTATAGGTTACCTGAGTAGATAGGTAGAATTTTTTTTCTACACTTATAATTAGTATCTGATTATATTTTTATTGATAACATTGTTGCCAAGGATTTTAAGAAGAGCTTTTTAACGTAATAATCATAGCGAAAGACTCACCATCTCCATGCCCTGCAGAGCGATTCCGTAAAAATCCGAACCCGAATTCGAATTCACCCATGTATCCCAATTCACGTCACTTAATGAAGTAGCAATTCTATTGATTCAATTTTTTGTATAAAAATACAAAACAAGATTGGTTGATTATACGTGTCTCAGATATCAGATAGATATCTACCTTATATCATTTTGAAACTCACTTCACTTATGCCACGAACCGTTACCAATTGAAGGCTAAGCGGATTTTACTTTCGATGTGAATTCCGTCACCCGAGTGAATTCGAATTTACGTTCGGATTTATACGGGAACGCAGGGCTGTTCTCAGTCTATGTGTAGAGTTCTTCTACTCTTATATAGCAGCCGTCATATCATCACTCACTATCTTCACTTTCAGCCTCCTTCTTCCAAACTCCTTCTTACATACTCGTTCCGTCCTTGATCCGTTATCGTCACTCCACACATCCATCTCAACGGTTTCGTCTCCGCTACATGTTGTTTTCTTTCATTCATCTTCTTCATGGCCCAACATTCTGATCCATACATTACAACAGGTCTTATTACGGGTTAATAATTCTTGCCGTTAAACCTGATAGATAATATAATAAAACTCCCACGAAAACGTGTTAAAAATATAAGTACTTTTTAAATTTTTATATGATTATTTTTCCTTAAAGAAGTAATTGCGTAGGACCATAATTTTGGAGCCCCTTATTTTTTGTTCTAGGCAAATAAAAATCGCCTGGCGTAGATTATATAATAAGTTTGTTTTAATAGGAAGAATAATTTTGAATTATTTACTTCCCAGGCGCAGCGGACAAGGAAACAGACGAGGAGGAGGGTACGGCTGGGGGCGCTGCCCCTACTGATGAAACAGAGGATGACGCAGACCAGAACAAACATATCTTGCCTCTATCACACCCACCTGCCATGTGAGTCGATAGATAACTTCAATGAATTTCACAAGCATTATTACTTTCACTACTTGTGAGCGTATTTTCATCAATGCTCAGGCAATCACCAGGCACCAAACAACCGAAAGAAATATTGTTAACTTTCGATTAAAATGAAAATGTTTTTAAATTATTGTCTTTAATCAATGTAGGATTCACAACGTTAAACTAATAAATATCTCTTATCAAAAGTATTTTTAAGCTTTTTTCATTGAAGATCTTTGCCAGTATAGTATTGTGAATGCCAAATTTATTAGATACAATAATTTAATATTATGTTTATGATTTTCTTTTTTTTCAGTGAGGTGTCTGCTAGTCAGCAAGACTTTTTTAAGATGTTGGACGAAAAAATTGAAGAGGTATTACATTATAATCTCAAACAATATTGTTTAATATATTATATCTTAACCATTTGATTTTATACAATTTTATATATTTGTTTTAGGGCAAAGATTATGACTCGTCGAGTGAGACTGAAATCAGAATAGAATATGAACGTCGAAAAATACTTATAGAAAAATGGCGGTCTGCCTCGCAATCAACACAATCATCTCTTTCTCAACCAAGTCCTCCCACGCCTGCTAGAAGAAGGGTGTCGCGGCCAGTACCGCAACCTCCTGAAAGACAGAACAGCCCTGGTTCTGTGAGAAGATGTTATAGACAAGCACATGTCACGGAAGGCATGTCACCGCCCCCTAGAAGAGCTCACAGCGCTCAATCTCACCATCAACCTGAATCTCGGCAAATCAATGGAGATAACTGGCACGATCCAACCAAGTCTCCAGTCAAAAAACCACAAAGTGCCGGCTCCAATTGGAAAAACAATCCCAAAGTAGCACCCTACAATCAAAAGCCAAAGAAAAACGAAGCAAACGAAAATCAAAGAGCAATCCAAAAAGACGTAGACATGACCGGATCCGGTCAAGATATTTCACAAATTACCTTTAACCCAACATTCCAAACTCATAGTCCAGCTCACTCAGCGAAGTCCCAGCAGCAGCCTTATATAGCGCAAATCATAAGTTACCCGATGTCACAACAAGTTGCACCTCAGTCGCCCCCTAAATACATAGCACCACCGGAGGAATACCAAGACCCACAAAATAATGTCACTGATAATAAATATGTGAACACCCAAAGACAAACAACGCCGGTCACTCAAGCCAACTCACAGTCTCACATATATTACATCCATGGTAATGCAACTACCACTCAAGTGAACCAAGATCTAGCTCAGCAAAGACAGCAGACAGCTATTCACTTGCAGCAGTACGTAGCAATGAAGCAAGCTCAACAACAGATGTTCACGTACTTTCAAAGGAGTCCTCATTCTGTCTATCCCAATGTCGACTTTAGTCAAGTTCCAAACCCACATAGAATTTATGAAGGTGGTGATGAATTTGTTCCACCTTATAGTCATCCAACCGTTAGACCACATAGTGCACCGACGCCAGTGGGGGTAGTTCGACCTATGCCGATGGCACCTGGTTTTAATGCGATGCCAGATGGCTCACATATGATTCAGATGCCAATGTGGTCCCATATGCCTCCTGTGGTGTCGACTATGGGGTCGTGGGTGCCTGGGCAAGTACCGCCTGAGATGCAGTACTACCCTCAATCACAATTTGTGCCTATGTACCGTCCGAACTCTGCGGGATCCGCTGGAACTCTGACAAGGTACCAGAAAAAAGATAATGATAACGAAGTTAAGGGTAACGTGTGCCAAAGCATAAATCTAGTCCGACAGAAGCAGATCGGCCAGATTGTTTCAGTACCAGGTCAAGAGTTGACGATCTGCAACAGCACAAGTGACAGCCCAAGTCCAGCTTCGGTCAGCACCGATAGTGGTGTTTCCCCGGGAAACAGTGTGCCCAGTTCGAAAAATTCCGTTTTCAGTACACCTACCGGTGGAACTGATACTTTCAGCAGTAATTTAGACACTAAGAACAAGAAAAACAAATCTGTTCCATTCACTTCTAGATCTTTGAAGAATTCCAAAAGTCTAGAGTCTTAGTAAAACATTTGTAATTATGTAGATTTTCTAAGTGTACGTAGAGTCTAGTGAAAGAACTATGTTTAGTGAAAATTAGATTCCAAAGTGCTTATCTTCGTATTAATGAGATTTCAGCGGTATTTTTTTTATTGATTGGTGTTAAAAATCAATGTAGATCAATTTAAAATAATATTTGTACTTTATAAATCATCGTATCATTGACTTTAACATGGAATTGTTACCACCTTTTTGTTAAACATTATTAATTTATATTTTTTACAATGCAATATTTATTTTGGAGACGTGTTATAACTTTGTTAACTCTTAATATTTCCAAAAGTGACTTTAATCAAATCTATCTAAATGTATGTTTAGATAAAGACATAAGAAATAAAATTATTGGTACCTTTAAGTGCCGAAGATGCATTTTAAAATATTCAATAATATTAATATTAATGAAATCATGTGTTTTATTACCTTTGTTTGTTTATTTTTTATGTGCGGTGAGGCGTTTCGTTATATATTGCTTTTTGGTAAGTAATAGAGTTACAAATAAATAAAATAATTGCAGCAATTAGTCTGAACTCTACAAAAAATCTTATGTACCATTCTAGTGCACCCAATCAATTTAACCGTAAAACTTTGTGAAAGTAGGTACCTAATTCAATTAGGATAGAAGAGAAACAATAGATGGTAGTGGAAACTAGGAAGTTAAGGATGATAAATGAAAAAAAGGCGTTATTAGTGCTGGAAACTTCGAATCGTTAAAAACTTTATTTTTGAAATTTGTTCCTTAAGGGGGTAAATTAGGGGATGAAATTTTTTATGGAATTAAGTCATTCCCGGATTTAAAACTACACCACGCGGGCGACGTCGCGGGCAAAACCTATTTGTGTATTAATCTTCTTGAATCACTCTAGGTATTAATGAAAACCGAATAAAATCCTTTGTATGATTTAAAGATCTCAGCACACATACAATACTTTGTTTTATACTTTAATCAATAATCTTACAGTTGTTTCCTATTTTACAGTTTATTTACATAAAAACTTTGGCTCAAGTTATTGATTTCGGTACACATTCAGTTATATCCAATAGCGGTTCCCTTATAAATAATGCAAGGCAATTAGCATACCGTCCTGTAAATATACCGGTATACGTATATACTCACGACAATTCTCATTCAAATGCTGTAATTTGACCTAACGACTAATGGAATCATTAATATTTGTTTTTCATCTTTTGCAATTGAAAGTTAAGATAGTTATTTGTAAATTTCTATCGGTCATCTAGATAAATTGTCATTGATGAAATTGCATTCACTAGTAAAATAAAGTTACAAATACTAACTTATTAAATTAAAAAATCTGGCTAGCTTGATCACGGAGCCAGTTGGTATACCAGGCGCCTGATTAATGAAGGATTGCAGGTTCGAATCGTACCTCAGACGCTTGACATGACTGAATTCTTTAAGTCCTTTGATCGATTGATTCGATCAAATTTCGCTTTTAAAGTTGATGTGGCTTTGAATTGGCCTAAATTAAAGAGTTAACTTTTTAGAGAGTTTTATAGAAGCTATAGCTAATATTGCTCAATTGCGTTTCTCCCACTCTTAACGGGGAGTCGGGAACAATAAGAATACAAACAACGGACTCCTCGGGATGTTTTATGACAACAGAAGCGCAATAATACGCCGATATTTGGTGCTCAGTTTTACTTAATTCTAAATCTTATTAAAGAACTTTCACAATTATTTTAATGGTTATTATATTTGGTACATAAAAAAATCGCCAGTCCCAGGCACCTCGAAATGGGACTCGATCAATCTGGACGAATGCTCTAACCCTTGAACTACCCGAGACCCAAGAGGACTGAAGAATTTCACGTGCAGTTTTTACTTTTGCTACTAATGAGTTTCATCAATATTCTGGCAATCCATCCAGAGATTAAATATTTATATAAATCTTTCTTTCGAGAGTTTCTTCGTTTTCAATTTGTTAAATGACTTGTTTTATCTTTACTAATGCTTTTTTAACGATAGGAAATGAATTACTATATATCTCGTCTTCCTAGCGCGGGTCACCGAGGCTGGGTGTCAAGAACCTCTTGTATCCCTTCGCTTACATCATCAACATTAGCCCTTTTACGTCCCCACTGCAGGGGCTCGGGCCTTCCTTGTGGATGGTTAAGGAAGATGGGCCATGACCCTCCACGCTGGCCCAATGCATATTCGAGGGTATTAACGACTGCAAATGCAGCCGGGACCAACGGCTTAACTTGCCTTCCGAAGCACGAAGTAGCTCAAGATAATAATTTTTTGGTCACCCATCTCGTGACCGACCCTAGCGAAAGTTGCTTAATAACAACGATCGCGGGCCGGGCGCTTGTCCTCTACGCTACCGAGCTACCAGTCTCCGCTTACGTTCTCTCACAAATACGCATCGAGAGTGAAAATCATACATTTCAGACATTTTAATAACAGTAAAAAAAAAACAAATCTTTTGATAATTTTCGATTATATCAAAATATATTCGACGGCGATGTATGTTTTTTTCTTTTTTATATTCACCCAGAAATCTCCAATTGTTCAAAGACTATTTACATATTCTTACTTATTCGGTGTTGATGAGAAGGGATGCCATCTCAGTATACCAGGGACAAAGTGGGTTTTTTAAGAATTTTTCATATACGTACTCCTTATTTATCATTTTTTTAAAGTTCGAAGTCTTAGTAATATATTTTAAGTTTTTGTTTATATTTTTAATTTGAAATAAATATATTAGTCTTGAAATCGATCCAAAAAAACCTATTTTTTCACGACTTTTTTATCAAGCCAATTATTGATATTTTTCTGTTTTTTTGCAAATAATCGACCATACATATGTTGTTTAGGCTCATTAAAAGGGATCGACGAGTGGATAAACGTACTGTTAGTGACAAAGACCGAGATACATAGAAAATACAATATTATAAAATGTGGTTATAAAATATATAAAAAACGTTATCTTTAAAATTTAAAGAACCCCCGACGTAAACAATAAAACAAAAAATAAAATTCATAAACAGTATTGGATGAATTATTATTTCTGAATGTAAAGCAATCGGGGGACCGCCAATTTAATATGATTTCAAATTCTAATACAAAATACTCGTAAATGGCGTCTGTGGTGGTATGGTTCAGATTTAGTCTGTTGTTAGTTGTTGAGAAGTTAGTTACTCTGCGGACTATCCTGGCTGCAGCATCAGATCAAGGTAACCATATTATTAATGTGTTATAGGGTAAGGATGCCGAATATGAGATAGTCGCCAAATATGAGATAGTTAGGTTTTGGCGAAACTAATCGCCGCAGCCATTTGGTGCTACTGTCGCTAGAAGCCACGTGGCAAAAGATCAAAACGTGTGTTAGTGCTTCCCAGTCCAAGGCGAAGTTAGGTTGTGTACACGTGGCTTTTTACGAAACCCCAAAACCAAATTTTTCTCATCAAATATTTACAAGGTGTAGTACAGCTGTATTAATTACACTGAATGATTTTAATTTACCGTCATTCTATCAATTATATCATGAATTTTATGATACATATGCAGTTTTATTACATTTTCTTTACTGAGAAATAATGTGCAGCCATTTTGTTGAATGTAGATGTTTTCCTAATATGAGACATGCGAGTGCTCCTATAATGAGATATCTCGTATTAGGATATATAAAAATATGACTATTTCAAAAATCCTTTTTACTAGATGGGGCCGATCAAAAGGAAATCCTGAGACCATGGATCGTGGAGAAGTAACCACAGATCGATTTTTGTGTTTGTGTTTAAATATCTAAGATTTAGAATAAAAGTTTTGACTTTTGTTGATTACTAATATTGTTTAATAAGTATGATTTGAAAATCTCTGTGATTATGATGAGTCTGACATAAATCATATCTAAGATTTGGCATAATACTTTTGTTTTTGATACTGTTTAATAAGTGCCATTTGAAAATCACTGATTATGATAAGTTTAATATAAATTATAACTATGTACGTTACATACATATATTAAGTCGTACTCAGACCTATTTATTTAGGAGTATGATGTTGTTAATTAGAGAATATAGCCAATAAAAAGTTTAATTCAAATTAATTTCTTTCCTTTTTCTCCAAATCTATACTCAAACCCTAAAGAACCTAATATGAGATACTGTCTCATATTAGCAACCCTCAGTATCTCATAATAGGAGACCATTTGCCTGAGACGTAATTTCTGAACTTCTTAATATTTTTTGATATAATAAAAAATCTATTATACTCAGAACTAAACGGTCTCTCATAAATAAACTTCATTAAATACCCTATCAAATATTGCAATTTTCATAATGATTAGTGCAATAATTTATGTTTTATATCCAAAAATAAAAATGGTATCTCATATTCGGCATCCTTACCCTATGATTTGCTGTTTGTATCATGTTTCAACTCAATCAGTACAGTAGAGGTGTACTAAGAGTCCATTATATTAATGATTACCTCTACATCATGTCGAAAAAGTTAAATTTTAACGAAAAGGATATTCAGCGAATTATTCGGGTGGGCACTTCAATGTTTTGCCGCTTATACAGATTTAAAAACAAAAATTCATTTTAAATTCTACAATTGATAGAATTTCTTTGACTTATAATAACATAAGAAGTTTTGTGTTTAAGTTCTATACCGTGCTTTGTAACAAAGAAAATAGAAATACTCGAACCCAATATATTCGGAGCAAAAACCGAATAATTCATTCATCGAATACAAATAGCGAAAAAGGTGCCGATACCGAATACCAAACGAATACGAATATGCACCGAAGTGCATCTCTATTAATAATACTTATACTATCGCTCCACTATCCAGGTCAGCTATTATTGCTATACAAGCACGAGTTAACACAATTTTTATAAAAAAAAAACTCCACAAGAAAAGCTCGCTGAGCATGAAGGCGCCCAGCTATATGGGTCTTACAGTTAATGGCGGTCTCTCGGGAAAATTATTTCAGTGTTAAAGGAAAATTTTCTGTAAGAAATATGAATTGTCTTGCACATTAACTGGCAGTAAAACTTAAGCTTACTAATTTACTGCTGCTATTTTAAATGATCAAGGAACTTTTGATCATCAAAACCCTAATGAGAGATGGGTTTTGGTGCCTCATTTTGAGCTAATTTTATAGGTTGTATTGGGAGATTTCGCTCTTTGGATAATTAATCGGTTCTCTATAAAGATGTATTGTATGCCCCACAAGGAATACGACGTGTGCGTGCGTGTGTCTGCGCGTGTGTGTGTGCGCGTGAGTGCGCGCGTGCATGCGTGCTTGCGTGTGCATTTTTGCGTGTGCGTGCTTGCGTGTGCATTTTTGCGTGTGCGTGCTTGCGTGTGCATTTTTGCGTGTGCGTGCTTGCGTGTGCGCGTGTGTGTATGTTTGTGTGTGATATTTTAAACGGAAGACAAATCAATTAGGTACGTATAAAGAATGTCTAACATACAATTTTAATTTTTCTAGATATTAACCCCAAACAACGTAATTTCTTCTCCACGTAATTTTTATTAATTTAAATTATTAATAAAAAATTATTCAAAAATCCACTTTGCCCCTGGCACTCTGAGAAGTTTATTGGTTCAAATCCCATGACAGAGTGCCAGGCACAAAGTGGATTTTTAAAGA